GTGTGTGTGTTGGTGGGGGGGGGAGTTAGGGCAAAGGGATTATTCTATATGATACTGTAATAGAAGATACATATCACTGTATATTTGTTAAAATCCATAGAATGAACAACTCAAAGAGTGAACCCTAATGTAAACTATGGGATTCAGTAGACCATGATGTATCAATATCAACTCATTAATTCTGACAAATGTACCACACTATTGCAAGATGATAACAATAGGGGAAACTGAGGGAGCAGGAATGGGGAGGAAGGGTTATAGGGGAACTCTATTTTTTGTGCAATCTTTCCTAAATGTAAAACAGCTCCAAAAAATAAAGTTGTAAAAAAGTAAAATAGGCTAAACAATGATCCATGCTTTGGAATAAATAAGTGAGGCTGTGCATATCTGAGGTAAGAGGGACATGATAGACCGATGGAGCCTTGGAAGCAGAGACACGAGGACTCTGACAGGATTTGAGAATGAGCACGATGCCAGGGTTGCTGGGATGGGTTTGCTGTGTGGATTTAAAAAACCCAAATCCAGAAGAATGACATGGCTTGCTCGAGGTCACACAACTACCCACTTTTGGATTGATCAGATAGAAACTCAACTGTTCTCTTGACAATGAGCAGTCCCATGTCCTGCAAAGGAGGCCCTCCATTCAGTTTTGAGGCTGCAGTGTGCACTGTTATCACAGGACAGCCAAGAAACCAGGCAGCAGGATCTTCATAGGTGTTGTGATTCCCTGCAAATTCTCCTTACACTTTAGCATGAGTATCTGGCTTCTCCCCTCAACCTGCAGACAATGTGTGGTTTCACTTTATTTCTGAACCAAACTCAGGATTGCAATCCCAATCTCCTGCTATTAAACCAAAGGAGATAAATCATTTTAAACTAGAAACTCCTTGGTAACCAAAAAAAAGGGGTAAAAATTTTAGCTCTTGGATGAAAATCACACAGCAGGGGCAATAATTGATTTCATTTACAACATGACTGGAGCCACAAGCAGATCTGAAACAAGACAGAGTTGGGAGAACCAATGCAGTCTTTTCAAAAGTTTCGCCTTTATGTCTTCCCTGTATTTCAGATGTGTCAGAGGCCCTTCCCTAACTACAGCAAGGGAAGCGCACCTTAGAAGAATTTGGATTGCAAATGTCCTGATGTGTGCCAAACTTTAAAAATACTCCTCATGTCCAAACAAAACACCAAAATGGGTCTTCCTACATGAAAATGGCATCTATCCCATTTCCATTTACATCCTAACTCTACTATCCTACCGAAGTGCTTAGAAGTGTATCTAGCCTCTTTTTCACTCTGGAAAATAATATTAATAGCTGTTTCCAAACACGGGTTGAGAAAGATTAACACAAGATGGTGCATGTAAAATGCCTAACACAGTAGCTGGCATAGAGTAAATGCTCATTAAAGGTTAGCCTAAAAATGAACCTACTGACAATGTTTCTCTTTACTGTCATCAACCAAGTAATAACAGAAGAGTAAGAAGTGCTTCTATGAAGCCATACAAAAGGCTTAATATTGTAGTTCTTCTTTATCTACAGTTTCTCTTTCCGCGGTTTCAGTTATCCGAGGTCAATAGTGGTCTGAAAATATTAAATAAAAAATTCTTGAAATAATTCGTAAGTGTTAAACACTGTATCCCAGTGCTTGTCATTCACCTCATTTCAAGTCATTACTCGGCATTTTGTCTTCTCATATCATCACAAGAAGAATAATGAGTACAACACAATAAGATGTTTTGAGAGAGAGAAAAAGAGACCACATTCATAACTTGTATTACAGCATATTGTTATAATTGTGCTACTTTGTTACTAGTGTTCTCATTAATCTTTTGCTGTGTCTAATTTGTAAATTAAATGTATCACAGATAGGTATGTATACATAGGAAAAAACACTATATGTAGGGCTTGATGTTATCCTTTGCAGATAAGTCGGGGAGGCTACTATGTAGCATTTTGATTCTCAAATTGCAGTCCTTGTAATTTTAGTGCCCCATAAAAATGTTAATAGTTATCCCATGGTCAAATATACTTCAGTAAAAATTAGCAAACACACACACACACACACACACACAAACTAGGCTTCTTTACTTTTTGCAGATTTGAAGAAGTCAGTATTGAAGAAATAAAATGGAATGACATGGCTTTGCCTGAATTTCAGAAAGTTTGCCAGCGTTAAGACAGGTGGCTGGAAGGTGGGAAGAAGACACAGGAAGAGAGAATGATGCAGGCCATGGGAAGGGCCACAGGGCTGTGAGAAACACTGAAAATGCTGAAGAGACAGGAGGTTGTTCAGGTGAAATGCCGGCGGTGTAAGAAAGGGAGAAGTCAAAGAGGTTCCATTGTCTTTGGAAGGCAGTGGTAAAATCTAAGATATAGGACAAGCAAGGAAAGAAGACAATGAAGAGAAAAAGAAGGAAGCAGAGGAAGAGGAAGAGTTGCCTTCAGTTCCTATTCTGTACCAGAGGCTATTAGGTCCCTATTTTACCAGTTGGCTGTTCCCTTGAGCTAGTGAAGAGTGAAGCTGGTTTTCAAATCATGCCATTTACTACAAGTCTCTGCCCCTGTGTTTGCTCATGATATGGCAGCTTCATCCCAGAACTACTGGGTTAACTATGAAAAAGGCTAATCCCTTTTATTGAACCACATTAACTTCAGAGAGTCTTAGCATTAGCCTGAAATTTTGCTCTGTTTACTGTCAAATGCCTTTTGAGTGTGATTCCCCGCTTGGAGTAGCAGAGACTAGCTCTGTTTTTTTAATACAAGTTACACCCCTGAACTGACATAACAGAAAAGGTACTGCACTCATGTCTTGCTACTCTTGAACCACCATTTCTGAGAATGTGTCATATAGTTGTATAGCACTCAAAAGTATCCAATAAAATAAAGAGCTAGTTCAGAACACTGATTTTTAGTGATTGAGTTGGTAGAATAATAAATTTTAAAATGTGCTAGAGGTAATGCGTGCTTTGTTGAACAAAGGGCCTGTGGGAGTTTCTGGTCCAGATTGCCTGTTCACCTTGAACCTGTGGAATGACCTACAATGTTATATGAGCAACAGGTCTGACCCACTGTGTATGGTGTTTGTGAAGATCAGTTAATCAAAAATTATATCAGGCTGGGTATGTGGCTAATGCCTATAATCCCAGCACTTTGGAAAGCAGAGGCAGGAGGACCACTTGAGGCCAGGAATTAGGGACCAGCTTGGTCAATCTAGCAAGACCCTGTTCCTATTTTTTAAAAATAAAATAATTAAAAATTGTCCAGGCCCGGTGGGTCATGCCTGTAGTCCCAGCATTTTGGGAGGCAGAGGCAGGTGGATTCACTTGAGGTCAGGAGTTCAAGATCAGCCTGGCCAACACGGCAAAACCCCATCTCTACTAAAAATAAAAAAAGCAGGCCGGGAGCAGTGGCTCGCACCTGTAATCCCAACATTTTGGGTGGCCGAGGCGGGCAGATCACCTGAGGTCGGAAGTTTGAGACCAGCTTGACCAACATGAAGAAATCCTGTACAAAATTAGCCAGGCATGGTGGAACATTCCTGTAATCCCAGCTACTTGGGAGGCTGAGGTAGGAGAATGACTCGAACCCAGGAGGCAAAGGTTAGGGTGAGCTGAGATCGTACCACTGCACTCCACGCTGGGCAACAAGAGCGAAACTCCATCTCAAAAAAAAAAAAAAAAAAAAAAAAAATTAGTGGTGCATGCTTGTAGTCCCAGCTACTGGAAAGGCTGAGGCAAGATAATTACTTGAACCCAGGAGGTGAAAGTTGCAATGAGTTGAGATCATACCACTGCACTCCAGCTTGGATGAGAGTGAGACTCCATCTCAAAAAGTAAGTAAAAATTATATCAATGAAGATACATCTGCATAATAAATATAAACACACCTCAAACAACCCTACAACAATTTAACTCTTTTGATTTTCCAATACATCCCCTAATCCTGTGATGTAGGAGTGCACACTAGTACTTAAGAGACAGGCCAGGATTCACATTCAGGCCTTGCACCCACTCTCTAAGAAGATTGTCTTGAGTGAATTTGCTTCATAAAGCTGAGTACCATTTTCCTTGTGGTGAAATGAGAATAATAACATCCAGTTCACGGGTACTATAGAAATAAATGTAAATCACCCGCCTAGCATTTCATAAACACAAGTTACGGCTCACCAGAACAGAAAGAATGAAAGAACGTTTAGCTTGCAATGGCCAATGAGGAAGGGGCTACTAATGACTCCAGAGCCAACTGATTTGCCCAACTTCATCAGGAGTAAAACTGGTAGAACCTGAATCCACGCCTCTTGTCTAGGGGGTCGGGCCACACCTGTTGCAACTTTCTGCAGCACCATTGGGGGAAAACAAACCATACACGTCAAAATACACTTGGCTGTGTCACAACACCAGGGTACTATGACACAAAGTAAATTTAAATGACACAGTGTGCTTTAGCGGAGAAGACCAGAGGCACTGGGGAGACCTCAGAGTAATTAGCAGCTAATGCAACACAGCCAGGCACAGAGTAACTAACCCCTATGGTCGTCGGCATTTATGCTCTCTCGTAGGGCAGCCCCTTTACGTAAATATAAAAGGATAACTACCACTGGGAAAAAAATGAAGCAGGTATTGTTTATTGCGGGGATGAGGAGGAGCAGGGCCTTGAATGTACAAAGCAGCCGGGCTACCTGCAGCCACTTCAGAGAGGGTCAGAGTGTGAAACGCGGGGACTACGACCCTCCAAAATCCTTCCATGCCCAGCACGCAACAGTAGCAAAGAGACACACGCAGCGGTGATGTTACCTGAGCTTATGTGTAGACGCTTTCCTTCGTCTCTTCTGGAAGCATGCACAAAAGGGGAGTGGCTTCAGCCGCAGCACGTGGAAAACGCTTTGCTTTGTGACAGGCCTTCCCGTTTCGCCCCCACTGGGCCAGACGCCGCGCTTAGCAGAGCGGGTTTGCCAGACGCGGCGCCGAGGCCCCGGCACCTGCGCAGTTGGATGCGGAAGTGGAGGGCGCAGCGCGGCTCATTGAAAAGGGGGCGCACTTGACAAACACCGTTACGAGAAACGCGAGAAGTGCAACGTGGCGAGAGCCAGGCAGCACCTGGTGTCAGCGGCTAATTGTGTTGGACGGTGGCATGATAGACCAGCGCGTTTAGGGCAACCCGAGCCGCGGCGCTTGCCTCGCGTCCTCGGACACCAGGCTTGGATTACAGGAGGGACCGGCGCGGTGGCGGCAGCTGCCAGGACTCACGTCCCACTCAGATGGACGCGTGCACAGATGACGAGCCTGTATCTTACCCTTGCAGGGCTGGGGCAGGGGTCACTTTTGCCGCTTACACAGCAATGCCTGGAATAAACAAGAAAAATGAATACAAAAGCTATATTGGATTTTAATGTGTTTGAAAAATATTTAAAAAGGAAGAAAGAGAGAGGAAAAGAGGGAAAGGGAAAAGGACAGTAAAAGAAGAAAAGGGGAAAATGAGTTTTGTATACAGCAATTTTTAAAAATTACATTCAGTTCTGTTTTCTATAAGACATGGTAATTTTCATAAATGTCCCCTTCCCACAATTATTACTATTTTGTAAAAATAATATTTCTTAAAATAATATTGTTACAAAATATTATTTACAAAATATTAATAGTGAGGAGGGGGACTTTATGAAAATTTTCGTGGGCTATAAAGATAAAATTCTATAATAGAAATTAATTCAAATCTCTGGGATGCTCTAATATTCCATTTATTCCAAACTCTATTATATATGCCATATAATAGGCATATGCCCCTCTTTATTCAAGGTTACTTACTGGAAAACTAGCATTCAGCCAAAAATTTATATTTACAGAGGTAGTTATCAGATTCACACACACACAAAACTGAATAAGATGGAATACTTCATCTAGTCTTTAATGAGTAACAGCTCATGGTCTGTGATAGACGTACTGTGATAAACTAACAAAAGTCAAAAACAATGTAAAAATAGATTAAATTTTACATGAAGAATAAATAATACAATCTATTTTGAATGGTCCTAATTTTCTAACTACTAGTATCCTGAAAAGGTTCTTGAAAAATCTATGAATACTGAGGAGTTTAGATTTGAATGTAATTCTAAGGATATACAGGTAAACCTAAAGCAGTTTCATTGAAAGTGATAGACATTGTGGTTAAAAGATGAGGGGTTAAGAAGCAAGGCCATTCAAGACTCTGTCTCATTTGCAATACTTGTAAGCTGTGTGACTTTAAGCTGCTAACCTAACCTCTCTGAGATTGTCTTCATCTGTAGATTATGAACAGTATGTCCGTTTTGTAAGGTTAGAAGCATAGACAAAGATGTATAAATCTCTGAGCACAGTGCCTTGCATACAGTCAATATCCAACTGTTTCATTTTTTAATTCATAGGAGTAGTAGTAGTATTTAGGAGAAAAGTAAATATCTTTGGCTTTTAAAATAGATATTAAAAAATACCTAAAACAAAGGACTAAGTGCATTAATATATTCTTCTAAGTTCCAGCAACAAATATAGACGACAGTATCTCTCTCATTTGCTTCAAGATAATGTACATTCCATAAGCAGACACAAGACTTCCCCAAAGTGGATCTATATGAGTGCTTATCCCCAGGGATATCATGTATGTGTAACTCGATGTGTCTGTTACTGTTGTAATTGGGAAAAAGGAAAGCCATCGTTGTGTAGAAAGGAGCTGAGACTGCAATGTCAATGAGGTAGGATCAGAATGACATTTCCAGCATAATGTTAGCCAATTACATGTTGGAAATATGTATGCACTGCTCTGAACCACCTGTCATGTGCCTAGGTTCCTAATAGGGAACAGGAGGCAGTCACCAAAAAGAATAGTGAAAATGAGGGGAAAAAATTGTAAATAAAAAGGTAAGATTGGCTGAAAACAGCAGCATTCAGAAAGAAAGTTCCAAGAAAACTGGCTGCTCAACAGTTTTACAGAGAATCGCCATGGTTGCTCATGCTCTCCATCCGGGTCCTTATTTCTGAGAAAATTTTACGGATGCCCTGCTGACAGCTTAATGAAGGAACACTACAAATCACTGCAGAGGCAACAAGGAGTGCGAAACCAGCCTCTTCCTGTGCTGCCACCAAAAAAAAAAAAAAAAAAAAGTCTATGTTCTCCCAATGAGGTTTTTCAAAAATGAATTATGCCATTAAGTGCCAAGAAGAAAATTAGCTATGAGCTTTTAAATTTAAAATGATCCCCTTTTTAATTGTAAAACGGTGGCACTTAACTGCTATTGATCCTGCTGAGACACATTAGGGAACAGGGTCACCATAACTGTTAATATTCACTGCTTAGTGAAAGAGCATCAAAGGACATTTTAATGTCACAGACTTTCTCAGGGAGTTTTTAAAGAAGGTTTGAATCAGCCAGCCTATGAATGAAAAGGACATGAGGTAGACAAATGTAGAAACAAATGTGATAGCAATTTTCTGCTAATCAAATCATAACTCAAGATTGATTTTTTTGGCAAAAGTTTATGTCATATAGATTTCCAAGGCTGGTCGACATTTAAAAGTCAGAGTATATGTTTTCTATAGACTTTTTAGATGATCATCCAATAGGGAATTTTTGTTTATTTTTTAACATAAGTGCAAGAGAGAGCTTTTCTTTTGGGACAGACCATTTCACTTTTTATTTTTTTATACTTCAGAAGTAAGGAATGTGAAATGTCAATGGCATTTTATTCAGAATGCAAAGTCTTTTCTACTTTTTAAAAAAACTTTTGGACAATAAACCACAAGTGAGTATTCAGGTTTTTAAAAGTAGAAATTACATTTTTAGAGCATACACAGTGGAGGTTTTCTATTTTTTGCTAGGATTTGAAAATACTGAATGTGTGGCATTTTCAACTTCTACAATGCTGAACTTTACCATATATGACCCAAGTTAGGGAGCTGAACAAAGGTGCTTGTTATTAAAATGCAAATCCCCCTGTTAGAAACAAAAGAAATGTTTAAAAGATAAATGTACATTTTATTGGACTTAAAAGAATCATGTGTTAATCTATATTTCTCACTAGATCAATTCTTTGCTGTTTTCCAATAACTATTGCTCACTTTGCCAAGTAATTGTTATTGAAACAGTATTATTCTGTTGATCCTTAATTCAAAAATTTTTCATAAATGCCTGCAAAAGTATTTTTTAGGGTGTAACTTTTGGCAAATACTATATTATAAAAATTGAGAAATAGGAAATTGCCAGTTAAACATGAATAATTTCTTTGGTTGGTTTAAACTTTTGTTTCTAAGAAAACATTTTATGTTTGTGCCATCATGGAAGTCTTCTCTGGAGCACCTGGGAACAGTTTGAAAACTGCTGGCCTGCAGCATGTATTCATTCTGATATTCATTCGAGAACATTGCACTGGAAACTAATGAACCATCCCAAGTTTTAAGGGACAGACAGGAAACAGGAAATTCTGATGTGAAAAAAATGTCCTAATAGACTTAAGACCACAGCACTATGGGTGTACAGAGGACCAGCACCTCTCTGGGATTTAAGAGGTGAGAAAAGGGTGCCCAAGAGCATGATTCAGGGCCTGGATCTCTGAGGATGAATTGGTATTGTCCAGGAAAAGTCGACAATCTTAGCATATTTTCAACAGGAGAAAAAAAATAGCAATGCAAAGATGTAAAGCAAAGAGTGAGCATGTGAAAGGCAAGAGGCCAGCAAAGAAAATGGAAGCCGAACCTCATCATACTGAGGAGGATGTATTAGGCCATTCTTCTTTGCTATATAAAATACTCATGACTAGGTAATTTATAAAGAAAAGGGGTTTAATTGGCTTATGTTTCTGAAAGATGTATAAGCAACATGGCACCAGTTTCTGTTGGGCTTCTAGGGAGGCCTCAGGAAGCTTTTGCTCATGGCAGAAAATGAAGTAGGAACAGGCATGTCACATAGAACAAGAGCAAGGGGAGGGGGAGGTGCCACACACTTTAAATGACCAGATCGTCTGTGAAGTGAAATCACTCACTGTGGCAAGGACAGTACCAACCCATGAAGGATCTGCCCTCCTGACCCAACACCTCCCATCAGGCCCCACCTCCAACATTGGGGATGACATTTCAACAAGAGATTTGGACAGGGACAAATATCCATATGATATCAGAGTATAAATGGTATTATTTAAGACACTAGGGGAATCATTAAAGAATATTAAGCAGGTGAAGGATGTGATCAGATTTGTCATTAGCTTTACTAAAGTTACTCTTCTACCAATTTGGAGAACAAACTGGAAGGAAGAAGCCGGGTGCGGTGGCTCATGCTTGTAGTCCCACACCACTCTGGCAGTCCAAGGTGGGTGGATCACCTGAGGTCAGGAGTTCGAGACCAGCCTGGCCAACATGGTGAAACCCCATCTCTAGCTGGGCGTGGCGGTGGGCACCTGTAATCCCAACTACTCAGGAGACTGAGACAAAAGAATCTCTTGTGCCTGGGAGGCAGAGGCTGCAGTGAGCCAATATTGCACCATTGCACTCCAGCCTGGGTGGCAGAGTGAGACTCAGCCCAAAAAAAAAAAAAATTGGAAGGGAAAAGCAAGACTGGAGACAGAGACCATAGTTAAAAGGCTGCTGTGAAAACCAGGTGAGAAATAATAAAACCCATAAATAGGGAAGGGGCTCATTGGCTGGAAAGAAGAATTGTCTGAGAAATTAATTAGAAGTGGCAAGAAAGGAGGAGGTAGGGCCAAGAGTGTCTCCTGAATTTCTGGCTTGGTTGGCCATGTGTAGGATCTGCCATTCTGTTATTTACTTTAGGTAGGGGTATTGAATTATCCTGTCATGAAATATCAGAAAAATTGATTATTTAGGATACATAATTAGTTTCATTTGGGACATCAAAATGCAGGTAGCTGAGTATCTAGATATGGAATTTAGGAAAGAGATTTAGGTTCAAGTTAGAGTGTACAGGAAGAGTTCCTAACCCTAGAAGGCTTCAGATGGGGCTCAGGGGCACTTAAGGTCCTTAACATTCTTGTAAACTCACACATTTTTATATACACATTAATAAGGCAGAATTTGTTATGTAAAACAAATTCTCAAAGGGATCAATAACCCTCTAAAAACTATCTGTGTGGACAATAAAAGAGAGTCAATGGTGGAATACTGAGCATTATCAATAGTTAAGAAATTGATGTTCATGTTGAATATGAGGTCTTTCACAATTCATGCCCATTTCTTCATGTAAATATGTACTATTTTACCAAATCCTTCTTCTTCGAGCAGTCAAATAGCTTCACCAGTGCCCAAAGTACTCTTGTTCTTTCTTGCCTCCAGAC